CAAAAAACATAAGAAGGAACAAAAAACTCAAAATCACGGTTGAATGAAGCCATAACTCCATTATCTACTCACAAAAACAGTTTTGAAGTATTTAAACAAAATCTAGAGTACATCTATTTGTCTTCTCTGGTGGGGTTATTTCTAAACACGGAAATCTTATTTTTGTAAATATAGAAAGCATGGTAAGCATTATGACTATCATAACACTTCCAACAAACTATCTTTATAAGAATTCCGCATTGCCATGGCATCAGTACAGGTAATGTAGTTCAATTACTCATTGGTTTTCAGTCTCCATTTTAAAGAAATTGTAATTAAAGAACCAACATTGTTAATTTTTTGAGTTATCCTTGGAGATCTAATGATTGTCTTATAGGCTTGCATTAGATGCATTAATGAGAAATATGGGCAGAGAAAAGATAAATGTGGATTTTCTGTTGACACTTGAACTATGCAATACCCTGCAGATTAACGTCATGCAAAGAAGGAAGTATTGACTTATGCGGAAGACTGCTGCTCCAAAACAAACTCACGCTGCTTCCTGAGGATTACGCCTTGGGGCAACACGTAGTTCAAATCTCACCAGAACATCCTACTCCTAAACTCAGCCCCAAATCTCTCAGACCCACAGGACCCTGAGCGCCTCGGTCCCCTTGTAGGCCGAGCGGGTGATGGCCTCCACGGGGTTGGAGCTCCAGCGCCGGTGGATGGGGACGGGGGGCTTGCCGTGGTGCTGCCGGGTCACGGGCACGGGCAGGCCCACCTCGTGGAAGGAGCCATGCGAGCGCGCGGGGGACGGCGTGGTCGCGGCGGAGTGGCTGTGCCACGGGGTGGTGCTGGCGGAGCTGGCGGTACCCGGGGGCTCGCTGGTGCCGTTGAGCTGCGTGCTGCTCAGCAGCGGCAGCCCCACCTCCTGGAAGGACCCCATGGAGGAGAAGCCGCTCTCGTCCTCGGCCGAGCTGAGGCTGGGCTGCGGTGTGGGCGGCGCGTGCTTGCGCGTGTCCCGGTGCAGCAGCCGGTCGGCCTCCTCCTTGCGTAGCGCCTGCCGGGCCTCCTCTAGCCTGTTGCCGGCGCCCAGGTGGTGATGGTGGTGGTGCGACCCCGAGAAGGCCGACTCCAGCCCGCTGAGCAGCGACGCGGGCCCCGTGTCGTAGTCGCAGTCCTCCGTCGTCGAGGAGTTGCTGTTGGACTCGGACGCGCACTCGCGCAGTCGGTTATAGGAGGCGCAGCTCACAACCTGCATCGCAAGAATCACGTCGTTCGACGAAACCCACATCGAAAACACCCTGACATCCAACTGAAAGCACTTCCACTCACCTGAGAGTTCCGGATGTTGAGCTTCCTCCTGAGCGCGCCGGCCACGTCGGCCACCAATCTGTCCCCGTGCGGCGGCCCGTCCTTGACGCTCCCGTTGGCGGTGGGGGTGGGCGACGTCTGCGACGAGTCGTCCGGGTGGTCCAGGGACACGACGGAGCTGCGCTCGCTGCGAGGCTCGCTCCGGGGCTCGCTGTCCCCGGAGCCCGAGCCGGAGGCCGAGCCGGAGCCAGACAGCCGGTGCGCGAGGTCGGGCTCGCGCGTGTTGAGCAGGCTCTGCACGGTGCGGAGCAGCCGGAACGCCTCCTGCGACAGCTTCTCCGGGGGCACTTCCTCCAAGTCAGACTGAGATGGTCTGGGACGCCTCCTGTGCCAAAATAAAACACCTTAGTTCTGTTCGCGAACCAAGTCGAGCAACAGAAATCTACGGAGTCTGACAATTAATGAATGAACTAATCAGACCCCGGAAAATTTCGTAGTTATACTGTACCGCATGCAGCCGTGCGGACGCGTTGCCTACTCACAGGGGGCCATAAGTCACAGCGATGAGAGACGGAAGGCAAGCCTCACCGCATGGCTGCACGCGGTACACTGTGACGATGTAATTGTCCGCGGTCTTGTCTTTGGGCCACTATGTATGTATATCTCACCATGTGAAGTCCCTGAAGGCGCTGTACGACTGGGAGTCCTCGATCTGCGTGATGCTCTTGGCGCGCTGGAAGTCGGGCAGCGAGTCCCTGGGGCTGGCGCGGCCGGGGCAGACGTCGACGGTGTGCACGGAGCGGGAGCGCGGCACCCTGCCGTTGGGGGTCTTGGGCCTGAGGCCGCCGGGCCCGGCGCTGGCCGCCAGCTTGAGGTTCCGGTGCGCGCGCTCCAGGAAGCGCACCACCTGCTCCATGACGGCCCGGTACATGTGCCGCGAGTTCTCCGTCTGCCGGAGCTGCCACTGCAGCGTGTCCACCTGGTTCTGCAGCAGCACGTTGTCCACCATGTCGGCCGTGTCGGGCTGCGCGGCGTGCTGCAGCAGCACGCTCCCCGGCCTGCCGGGCCCCGCGCCCCCGCCGGTCTGCAGCCGCCTGTTCTCCTCCTGCAGCGTCTGCAGCTCCTGCGGACAGAAATCATCAACGTCAGAAAAACACCAACAAACGACCGGCGCTTTGTCACGCGAGTCCCTCCCCGGCTCCCCCGCGGCCGCCGCCGGGACCTGCCCGTCGACACCCAAACTACCTCTCAGCGCCCGCGGCGGGCGGGGCGCGGCCGACCAGGGCCTTCCCTAACAATACAGATCATGCGCAGCGTGGTCACCACGCCCGCCTCAGTTTGGGAAAAGGTTAAAGGGTGATGCCCCTACCGCCCCTTCCCCTCGCCCTGCGGCCATGGGAACGTACACGGCGCGGTCGGGGGGAGAGGGGGGGGGGTCTGACCGACAGGTAATTGCCTCTCCTCTGGCGGTGGGGTGCGCCAGGCCAGGGGGCCCAACGGCCCCAACGGCGGTCCTGCCGAGGCGGGGGCGGGCGGGCCGCGCCTGTACGCCCCTGCACCGGAAACGGCGCGAACCGAAACAACAATCAGCTATCTCCGGGGCACGTCGGTATACGTCTCGCGTCCGGCTGTGTACGGGCACCCCTACCCGCACGTCCGTATCCAACACACTGCGCATTAGCAGACTTCCGCGGGGCTGAGTCGGGACGGCGAGTCCAGCAGAGTAATGAAGTGAAACTATCGCGGCTGCCCCCGCTGCCCCCGGCGCCTGCACCTTACCTAACGCCGCTTTTTGCGAGCGCGCGAGTCTGTGTGTGATATGAAGAAGTGATCGCCGGGCGTATAATAATCGACCGGTCCCGCTCGGCCCAGCCCACCCCGCTGCGGACGGATATGGATCGCACCGCATCGTTGAGCGATCGGTATGGTATTTAACTACCGGCCTGGCTTACCATGCTAACGAGATTACCCCACGCCACGCCACGCCACGCCACGCCGCGCGTATCGCAGCCGTGCCGTATCATTTTTTTTACGCGGGGCCGCGGAGCCGAGTCCCGAGCGGCACGGAGCGGCGACCGTTCAGCAGTTTCTCCCTCCTCGCGGCCCGCTCAAGTATACAGTATATGGGGCCGCCTAACGAACGAGGGCGCGGCGAGGCCCCCGTCGAGGATCGACGAGTCCAGGACGTGTCCAGGACGTGCCCATCGGCTCCGCGGCGACCCGATGGTGATCGCGAGAGGCCCCGCGCCGCCATCTGTCTCTGTCCGGCCCTCGGCGAGGGGCCGTAAACACGGTGCGCAGCCCGGGCCGCTGTCAGCGATATTCCATCGACGAGCAAAAAACAAAAAACAAAAAATGTGGCAATAACGAAACGACACGCTGCTGTACTAATAAGCGCGTTTCCGAGACGCAGAGCGGGCTTGTAGGCGTTGATCCCCAGCGCGCCCTCTCCAAACGCTTCGCCGCTGCACACGTAAGCACGTAAAGAGGCTTCGTTACCGACACCTTAATATGGTCTATTTAAAGCACGGTGGAGGGAGAGACGGTGGGGGCACAAGAGGTCTGTTCGTGGGTCCAGAATCTCGACAGGTTGGGGGATAAACGCCCTGGTCGGGGCCAACTGTAGGGCGCGTTCACACTACCTTCAGTCAGGACCGCCGTGCAGGTAGGTAGGTGGGAAGCCCAGACTCAGCTTGCGCGGGACGGGCTCCTACCTGACTCTCTCTCTCGCACACTCCGGCCGTGTGAGCCGGGCGAGGGTCGGTGCCGCTCAAGCTAAGTCGGGGCGGCCCAGCTACCTGCATAGGCCACCTCGACTGAGGGTACTACGTACCAGCACGTTAGATAGCCCCGACTCGGCCGTTAATCCCCCAACCTGTCGAGATTTTGGACCCACGGGTCCCTATGCTGGGAGACCCTCGTGCCCCCACCGTCACTCCCTCCACCGTGATTTAAAGCGTCACGTATTGAAACGCTCCCCTACCCCCCACCTCCCCTTTTCTAACCCAGCTCCACCTCGCTAATAGACAGTTATAGTGGAGCCCAGTGACAGGGGAGCCCCATCGTCGGCCAAGGGGAGGGGGGACGTCAGCCCACCACGCCCCACGGGGGGCGTCACGCGTTCCGATCAGGAACAGATGAGCGCTCACCAATACCCCCCCC